CCACCCAGCAATTTTGATTTCAACAATGTGATGCAGACGCTGGGAATGGGCCGCTCAAGATGTTTCAGTCATGAATGGCAGTTCCTCCACAGAATCCTTGGATACGACGCCTCTGGCATTCCTGGATCAAGGGATTCTGCGTCGTAACAACCTCATCGCAAAGGCAGGCTCCGATGATAGTGATGCGCGCCTGGTTGATTTTTACTACGCTTTTTTCCACGAATCCCATCCAATTCTCCCCCCTGCCCACTTACTACATTTCATTTCCCCGTTCCCATTATGTTTGAAGATGGCCATGAAATTTGTTGGTGCCCATTTCGCTTTTGGGGTGTCTACCGATGCCTATAAACTCTCCACGGCCAAAGCCATTGAAAATGATCGGGAGCCGTCTTACCAGAAGGTCCAAGCTATCCTCCTATTTGCAACGGTTCTACACGCGCGGAATGATCGCGAAGAGGCCATTGCTTCATTCGCTGTTGCAGTCACATTAGCTATTGAACTGGGCATGCACCGTAAATCCATGGTCGAAGTTCTTGCTGGTCATAATTTTGTTCGTGAGGAGAGTCTGAGACGGACTTGGTGGGAAATTTACATGACTGATGTCATGTTCGGAGCATTTGATCACTGTCCCTTGAAGATTGGAAACTTGACAATGGATGTACAGCTTCCCAGCGAGGAGGCTAGTTATAGTACAGGAATCAGCCTCGTTGAGCCACCGTCAACTACCCAGTTCTATAACCGTGTATTCGCCGACCACCCACCCAAATACTCATCCTTCTGCTACGCAGTCGAAGCAACTCACCTTTTGAAGCGGGGAATAGCTCTCGGCGTCACACTCGACGACGAAAACACGCGTGACCAGGTGGAAATTCTCGAGGCTAATATCGGTAGTTGGTTCCGCCATGCCCCAGAGGATAGGCCCAACGCCCTATGCATTGACGGCAGCGTCGACCAGGTCTTGTTCCGCGCTTATATGTTGGTTCACTGTGCCTCGATATATCTCCACCTGCCACGATCCTGCCTGATGGCCTCGCCCACCGCTAACGCCACCATCGCCTGTGCCCGCAGGGGAACCTATCTCCCTCCCACTTCCCATACACTGACGCACGCCTCCAAAGCGCTCGAGGCTGGGAATGGGATCGTCGCCCTGGGTTCAATCCGCAGCCCTCTCCTCAAGCACACGCCCTTTTTTATCTGCGGCCTTGTCCTTGGCGCAGTCGTTGAACTGTGCGCCTGCTCCATCAATGTCGGGCACTCGATCGAGCCCCGCAGGGACCGCATCGCATTGATCGTTGGAGAGCTGAAGCACTTGATCGCACGTGGGCGCTGGCGCACCAGGTTATGTGGCACATCAATGATGCTGGCAAGAGAAGATTTGGAATTTGGGCTACTGCTTCTACGCAGCGAGTTTGGAGGACCCAGGGCCGGACGTCAACATATTGCTGAATAGTGACATGTGGCTAGGGGATATTACCATGGATCCGAATATGTAGCTTTAGATATAGTTCTTTTTATTCTCTGTGCAGCTTGTCTTTTGGTCTTTTTTTTTTTTTTTTTTTTTTTTCTTCCCCTTACAAAATCTCATTTTGGGAGTAATTTCGAACGAATGAAACAAAACGATAAAAGTTAAAATCAAAATCAGAAGTGAATCCTTTTTTCAACCCTCCTTCCACGAGTATCTATCTGTGTCCTTCTTTCGCTCATAAATATCAACTCTTCGTAGAAATTATTGGATGGCGGCTGTACTTGAAAAAAAAAAAAAAAAAAAAAAAGGCTAGTTAACTAGACTAATTTCTTAAATGAGGCTCCGATTTTCTTCTTTGTTTGGAACGCAAATCGTAGTTGCATGCCGTAGATAGCACAACTCTAGTATATCTCCAGAATCGTGGTTATGGTTACAGAAATGCGTCGACAGCTTGAGCTTACAATGGCCCCAATACATTATATAATAGCCACAACGCCCCAAGAAGCAATAAAAAAATTATCAGGATATTGGTTTTGGGATTTGGTAGGGCTCTGCTGAATAAATAGCGGAAGTAGGTAACTTAGTTAATATGTATTAGGCCACTAGGGCAAAAGAGCTCAATCACCACCAGCGCCGTGGTGGTATACGGAGTATAGAGGATACGAATCACCCAATCCAATCCCCCCAACACTATAATATCCCAGTATTTTCGTTAGGGTCGCCCTAATATTTAAGTGCCATGCTAAAATATTGGGGGTGGATTTCACGGGATGAGTAATATATTATTAATCCACAATCTTTCTAACATCTGTATCACGACAACATTAGGATTTTTTTTACAATAAAAGATAGAGATGCGATATATGCTATATACACGGTATAGATTTTCAATTTTCATTGAATAAAAATTCAATTATGGGTCATCAAGAACCTGTGTAAATTGACACGCGAAAAATACCATGATGAACCTGTTGGAGGTCCTACACAAGCCTTATCAAGGCTCAACCTTCTTACAGGTTATGAAGTCCTTGCACTTCTACGAAGCGATAACTTGCAATAATCTCTTTAATAACTGCTTCTTTTGTCAAGGAACCTCTTCTTCTATTCATTTCGATACCCTGATACCTGATAACCTCAATAACCAACCGCGAAGAAACACCAGAGAATCAGATAACCCCAGGAACCTTTCCAACACCAATAACCACCCAAAGACCACGATATCAAGCCTCAGAACGTGAAGCAACAAGATGAAGCTGCAGTGCTGAGGCATCGTATTGTTCAGTTAGATGAAGAACTACATCAGATGAGAGCTGCTAGCACTCCTGCTACAGCTGCTGCCAATGACAAGAATGATCTAAGCCTTGAAACCGGTACACTACAATGTTGAGCAGGTCTTCTAGATGATGCCAATATCGACGCCAAAACGATGGAAATACTGATATATGATGCTCGATGCCATGCCCGATGCCCGATGCCCTATGATGCCAGGCCCCAGTGCCTACAATGCCAATAACCATAACCCCATGCACGATATCACGGATATAACCATACCCATAAACCCGTGGTATCAACGATATCGCGGATATAACCATACCCATAACCCCATGGTGTTCACGATATCATGGACATAACCATACCGATAACTGAGAACAATAACAATAAAGTTCAGTAAAATATGAGTTACCATGGCGTGAGGACAACTGGGGGGGTAATACAGATACAGAAAGGGCAGATTTGTGTTTTTTCTTGCATGTTTTATATACAATTTTATGTATGGGCCTTAGTCCTTATGAGGAAACTAGATGCCAGTTTTTGCAGTTAATTCTTATTGCAGATTTGAATGATTTGGGTGTTTTTCGTGGCTGTGTGGGCTAGTTGGCCTGCGTAGCATGGGGGGGTGTTGGAGGTCCTACAAGCCCTACCCCACGTGACCCACACACATATTAGTTGCCGCTAGCTACTAGATAGATCATAATAACCAACCAAGGTTCAACCCTCTTACAAGAACCCCCAGAATGATGGTTAGCTAAGCACCAAAATATTAACTAGTTAGTTAGTTAACTTAGGGTGGCCCTAGTTAACGAAAATTGAGCCTGGACTTGATCCTACTCCTAACTTCTAACCCCTAACCATTCCCTCACCCTTTGTTAGCCCTGTGGAGTGCTTCGTTCGGTTTTTGGCCAATTGGAGGCTGCGGAGGGATACTCCGCGTATCAAGTTCTTGATTTGGGTGGTGTGGGTGTGTTTTAGATTCAACTCAAGACTTCGCACCGCTGACATAGGTAAACGAACGAGTTATCAATTGAGGTTTAATTTGCGCATGCACTTTTAAAAAATAGTTATGCTGTAACTATTGATTATTTCATTAGATTAGATAAAATAGAAAAATCATCGCAGGACTATATATAATATATACATGCAGAAAGAGTTCTGCCACGGGGGGGTCTGTGAAGAAAAAAATGATCATATTTCAATAACCCATGTTTCACACATGCCCCTATCCTACCCCTTCTTCAAGTACAACGCTCCCCAACCGAAAAACCTGTACACCGCTGTAATAGCCAGCAATATACCAACCCACTTCCCAGTCCTCCCCGTCGCGTACCCATAAGAACTTAGCACCCCTGTCCCAGCAATCTTGCACTGCGACTCCAGCTCGCTGCCATACATACATTGACAACCGGGCCCACAATTAAAAGTCCTCTCGGCAAACTCATTAACCATCATGCCTTGAAAGACGTAGGCCTGGTAGTCGATATAGTGGAAGACGTAGCGCCAGAAGACGTTGAGGACGGTGGGGGAGACCATGAAGCCGCCGACACACATCCAAAGGCCGTTGGCGAAGGCGGTGAGGGCGAGGGCGATGACGAAGTTGGGGAACAGAGCGGAAATGAGCACAACGAGGGATTCGGCGGCGAGTAAGTCGAGGAAGAGCCACATAACGAAGGTGAAAAAACCCGTCGCGGTGTTATGGTAGTTTACGAGCCAGAAGGAGACGACAGCGAAGAGGATTGTTATGAAGACTGTTATACGGTTTAGCGGGCTGGCTGGGGTTGTCTTTTGTCTTTTGTTGCGCTTTTTGAGCGAGGGGATGGTACCTACATAGGAATGGAATGCCGATTATGAAATTGGATATCACAAATGATAGTGGTCCGTATAAGCCATTGGCCCTTTCTTTGATAAAGGCGGCGCGATCCTCGAGGAACGAGGGGACGTAAGCGACAGCCATGAATGACATGAAAGCAGATGAGAAGAACTATATAGGAAAGAATTTTGTTAGAAAGGACTTTTCACGATCAGGTGTCGTGGGGTGTTTCCCTTACAAGTGCGTTGATGAAAGGTTGGATGTTTTCTTGGCCAGAACCAAGCCGAAGCCAGACTGTGCCGACCAAAATGGCCAATCCTAGGGACGTGTGATGTTAGTAGGGACGGGGAGACATACGTTAAGGAGAACAACTCACCGAGATACATGATGATTCGAACGCCATATGCGATCACATCGCGATAGCTCTTGATAAAGGACCTATGGAGCAGAGAAAAGATAGTACCGATGGCGCTTGCGCCTCGCAAGGAGGTCGAGGGAATTTCATGTTTCTCAGCCGTATTCACAACTTTTCGAATCTCCTTATCCAGCTCCGAGGCCTCATCTGATTTTTCCCAATTCGCAAAAATTTGCGATAGCTGTGCTTCCGCGATCTCTCCATCACTTGCAAAGTCGGTATTCACTAGGTCAAGGACGAATTCTGCTGGGTTCATCTGGAGTGGCATGGGGTATCCGGTTTTGTCGAGGTAAGGTTTCATTTCGGAGCTTGACCCGAAGTAACAAGTCCGGCCTGCGGAAAGAATCATGAGTTTGTCAAAGGTCTCGAAGATGGCTGTGGACGGTTGGTGAATGCTCGCAATCACAATGAGT